GGAACCAAGTCCGAAATACAATATACAAAGGAAGGGAAAACCGGGATCGCTATAATAGATACACATATTTGCTATATCAATCTCATATTATAACACTTCCATACTTCACAATAGATACACATATTTGCTGTATCAATGGAGTCCATCCCCTATCTCCTCCCAAATAACATCCGGTTTAGGAGTCCATCCCCTATCTCCTCCTAAATCGTGGAGTACATCCCCTATCTCCTCACACACAATATAATGTATATGAACGTTTATCATATACATGTTCAATCAATACACAAATTAGATGTATTATTCCAACCGTCATTTTAAATGACACATTCAACCGGTTAGTTTTAATTCACCTAATCATCATGCAGTGTCTATAACAATCAAGACTATTCTCCACCGATAGCCCAAAGCAATTATTTCTAAACAGATAATAAATGCATCAACAGATAAATTATCAATAATTTCAAGGTGAGTGATTAATCAATCCAACTCCACCATTCATTCTCATCTCTTTTCAATTTCATTATTCCCAACTCAATTTCACATTTCCATAACTTTCCCAAATTAATTGTACAAATTAATTTATATTAACAAATCAGGGTTTTTCTCCTCTTTTCCTCAACATTGACCTAAAGGCTCAAATATCGACAATAAACAACCATAACCCCTTTTGAGACCCAAAATACACATGTTTTGGCCCAAAGAACAAAATCCCTCTTTGTACATTTTGAAACCCTAACACCCAAAATTTTTCAACTTCAATATTAAATCAAAATGATTAATAGTTTATGTCAAAGATTATAAAAATGAGTAGTTATCCCTACCTCAAATGGAGAGACCCAAAGGATTGATGGAGAAAAACGAAAATGCGCCAAACTTCAAGATTCTCGGATGGAAAGGTAGCCCAAGCCAAGCTCTACACTTTTTACAAAGGGATAAGTGTGGAAGATCACTCAAACTAGATCAAACCTTAGAGAGAAGTTGTGTTCTAGAGAGAGGAGCTCTCAAAATAGGGTTTTGAAAAGTAAGAGAGAGAGAGAGAAAGTTGAAAAAGTGATCTAAAATGACCCAGCTGCTAATTGATATACGTATGACCTGTTCGAGCGAAGAATAGGACGCTCGATCGTCAAACACAAAAACTCAACTCGCTCGAGCGCCAAGGTACAAAACAAGACACCACCCGCTCGAGCGCAAAAAGGAACCCGCTCGAGCATAGATTGCACTCTTCCAGTACTTTTACAGACATCGAACACCCGCTAGAGCGCAAGGACACCCGCTCGAGTGTAAGGAAATCCGCTTGAGCGTGAAAAACACATCTGCAGTATTTTTGCAAACAGACAAACTACTGAAGGTATGCAAACTCCGCTCGAGCGCAAGAAGACCTGCTCGAGCGGATCACTAAAAATCTGGGCAACACAAGTTGGGACAAAAGCTCTCAACCAACCTGTTCGAAACACGCCCAAGACAATTCTAAACTCAAATACGAAGGGTCTGTTTGGTAACGTTTACGTTTTTAGTTTATATTTGCAAAAATTTTATAAACTGGTTTTTGTTTATTTTTTGTTTATTTTTAGAAAAACATAAACTACAAACGCGTTTGATAATTGACAAAATGTTTAAAAAAAATTTAAAATATAAAAAAGAGTGAGAAATGGCGAGTGGTGGCAAGTGGCGGCGGAAGACGGTAGTGCAAAGTGGTGACAGTGGGTGGTGGGTGGTGGTGGGTGATGGTGGCGGGTGGTAGCGAGTTAGTGGTGGTGGTGGTGGTGACGGGTGGTGGATGGTGGTGGCAGGTGGGTGGTGGTGGCGGGTAGGTGGTGGTGAGTGGATGGGTGACGGTAGCGGCGGAAGACGGTGGTGGAAAGTGGTCACGGTGGGTGGTGGGTAGCTGGTGGTGGTGGATGGTAGTGGTGGTGGGTGGGTAGGTGATGGTGGCGGGTGGTAGCGAGTGGGTGGTGGTGGCGGTAGCGGGTGGTGGTGGCAGGTGGGTGGCAGATGATGGGTGGTGGCGGGTAGGTGGCAGGTGGTGGTAGTAGGTGGGTGGGTGACGGTAGCGGGTGGTAGGTGGTAGCGAGTGGGTGGTGGTAGTGGTGGGTGGTAGTGGCGGGGGGGGGGGAGGGGGCTGGGGGGGGGGGGGGGGGGGGGGGGGGGGGGGGGGGGGGGGGGGGGGGGGGGGGGGGGGGGGGGGGGGGGGGGGGGGGGGGG